TTTTAGCGAGAAGGTACTCCGACTCACTCCGACTAACCTTCTCTACAAAACTAATGATTCTCATGAACTGATGGCCAGTCTCATCAGTAAACATCTATCAATTCACCCGCTACACATATTGAGCGAAGTAAGTTGGAGATACCCAGCGTTTGCCATCCAAACGTATCATCAATCACTGGAAAAATGTCATGGTTTTATAAATCAGGAGAAAGAACCTCCCCTCCACTGACGCACCGCCACAGCTCTATCCTGCGACACAACATCGAATTTTGACACCAAGCTAACTCACAAAACAACTTCAAAGTCATCTAAAGAGGAATACACTGAAAGCTCGCTGAAAGTGGACGAATCAAACCACTTCAAACACCACAAAAGCAATCGCGGCGATCCACATGTTAAATCTCGAACTCTGCACGCAAACGAAGTTTGTTCAGTCATTAAATCTACAGTGGAACTGACATATCTTAACACAAAACAGGTAATTTTTGTTTCTCAATTGCATTATTTCCTTCCGTCACCCTCTATTCAATTCTCACCCCTTATCATCGCTTTTCTCAACTTGACTCGCCTTCAATCCTTGTCGAATTCTGCTTAATCCGATAGACTGTATAACGTCAATCAATTCACTGATTTGATTTAATGTGATTTTAGTTTCTGTTCAGTTAACGCTTCCTACATTACGTAATCTGTTATCCAAAATAAATTTACAACTCTGATGACACAACTTCGGAAATCTTCCTTTTGTTGTTAAGACAGTCGACTATGTATACATGTACGATTGTTCAGCATGCGAATGATATCGTAGGAAAGGTGAGTAACTCTTCACTGAACGCCTTCTCTTTTTTATGACTCAATGGTGGTCTTTTAGGTTGCTTAAATGTATATTTGCGTTTCCCTAGTCTGCAAATAAAGATGACTGAAGATAAACAGCATCTTGCTAGGCTAATAAAATACATTTAAATAAATATAGCCAGTAAAGTAAGGTAGGCTGGGTGTGAGGACAAATACTCACCAGTCACGCTATATCGTGAATGGATAGAAGTTGGAATTCATGGCCTAGTCATTGGATCGAGTCCAATTGGCTTAATGGTCTACGAGCTCGCCTTGCTATTTGCAACCGAAATGTCTTGGGTTTGAACCCGTGGCGTGAGTGAGTACTGCTGAAGTGGAGTCCTAAACTAGAGTGACAAAACAGCTGTCCAGTACACCCAGCTGGCTTTTCAATGGTTCTCTAACCAATATCAGCTCATGATGAAATCCTGTAGCCAATCAATCAAATCCCTACAAACCAATTCTTGAATATTAAATAAATATGTTTAATTGCTATTTCAATGAAGTTAAACTATCACTGCCAAAATTAAGGTCTGTCAAAAGTCAACACTCAAGAACCAATCAGACCCAAGGAATTCTATACAAGGTCATTCTAAATAAAATCATGTCTGCCTTTACGAATTTGGTGGGGATAGGTACAGTATTCTACTTATTCTCTGATTACTTTTTCTTTTCCTGTGAATCTACACTATAAATGTAGGATTAGCATTTTTAGGATTAAGGGTAGGTTAAAGAACAATGCCAGGAGTGTCAATAAATCTCAGATTAGTACCATGACCTACAGTCACCTGATTGAATACATCTATCGCGCATGGTATGATTTCTGCCTGGATTTTTCTTTGAGTAACCTGGGAGACATTTTTAGAACACATTATTCTGTGTAATATCATGTTTTTAGTGTCTTTTTTAATACAGTTTTTTTACACGAATAAAGCGCTTTTTTGTAGGTGAATCCTGATTGGTTGTTCAAGGTCGCTGTGAATTTTGGCTGTGATAGTTTTAATTTCGCCGCTAGTTGTTCACTCATTTCCATTTCCTTTCAATATCTTAGCAACATGGCGCGAATTGTCAGTCAAAAATGATGAGAAATCTAGAAATATAAAGAAGCATAAAAGTGGTAAGATGTCAGATGAGAAAACGAGTGGCGGTTGATAATACTACATACATAAGAGAAAGTAAGGCGATGCTTTTCACATGATTCAAGTTTCAATATATCATTTTTTTATTTTTGAATAAATAGACTGACAATGTATAAGACATTCTATTGTAGTAGTAGTAGTAGTTAAGTCATTCAAAAAAGATGTCGGATTATAAGTGAACTAGTTTAGGGACACATTTATTTTGAATGTGTATCTTTAAATAGCCTAATAACAACATGTCTTCTACATGCAGTCTAAAAATGAATCAAGTTATTCACTTACTTACTGATCGATGTAGACATGAGTCATCGCTTTAAAGAAAGCTTGAGCTCATACAACAACAACAACTACTACTACTACCCATTTTATCAAAAGCTCAATTTTCGTTCATTTTACTTAGTATGCATGTTTAACATTGTACAGTGAGAATCAAAGCGTTGTAAATTATTTAATTAATTAATTAATTATTTACTTATTATTATTTAAATTTCAATAATTTGAGATTTTGTTCTATAGATAATGTTCAACTTTCAATAGATAGATAATTGAACATCAATGACCTTCAGACATGATAACACACATTAAAGTACATGAATCACAATGAAAACAAAATCATGAATCGAAGACAAACGATTCCTTAGAGAAGTCATTGAAGTCATGACAAGAGTAAGACAAAACTGCCTACTATCACTGATGATATTCTTGATTGTGATCGATTAGATAATGAGGCAGACTGTGAGGACGCAGAAGACAGGCAAACTTTGGACATACAAGAAGACTCTAGAAGATTTTGATTTCGTGGATGGTTTATATCTGATCTGCAGGCAAAAGTCCAAAACCTAAAAATTCCCATTGAGTCATATAAAAGAAAAGACGTTCAGCGAGGAGTTACTCATCTTTTTAGCGATATCATTCTCATGCTGTACAATCGTATATGTATATCATAGTCGACTGTCTTAACAACAAAAGGAAGATTTCCAAAGATGTGCCACCAGAGTTGTAAATTTTTCCTGAATAACAGATTACGTAATGTAGGAAGCGTTAATTGGACAGAAACTAAAATAAAATAAAACCAGTGAATTAAGTGACGTTATCCAGTTTACCGGATTAATCAGAATTCGAGAAGAATTGAAGGTGAGTCAAGTTGAGAAAAGCGATGATAAGGAGTGAGAATTGAATAGGGGGTGAAGGAAGGAAATAATGCAATTGAGAAAGAAAAATTACGTGTTTCGTGTTAAGATAGGTCAGTTCCACTGTAGATTTAATGACTGAACAAACTTCTGCAATTAATAGTGTTCTCTGAGCTGGTTGGTTTAGTTGCTGAGCTTTCGTCGCCACCTTCTGGACAACATCCCCTTTCAGCGCAATATTTAGCATAAAGTGAAATGATTTAAATTTCTTCATGAGTGATAGAATTGCGTCTCCTGGTAACCATCTTTACATATGTATTGACCATTTTCTATTGACTTGGATTTTAAACTTTCTGGTCACCTGATTTACTTTATATTAGTTGGTATATTTCGTCTATATTAACGTGTTTGTTAATTGCATTTTCGTTTGAGTACCAGGCTTCTAGGAATTCCCTGACTGCACTTTTGGTGTTTCCTCTGTCTAAGATTTTGACATTATCCCAATCAAACTGATGTCCATAATTGTCTATATGCATTGATACTAAAGAATATATATCATGTCTTTTCACGGCTGATTTGTGTTCTTGGATTCTGATTCGAAGGGGACGACCACTTCGGCCGTTTATTTTGTAAATGGTATTAATTTTATCCCCTTTTTCTGTTGGATCTTTCGGTTTGCATAATATCGAATTAAGCGATTTGACTGGCTTGTGTGCTATATCTATATCAAACGGTTTCAACATTCTAGCTGTTATTTCAGAGATATTTTTCATGTATGGTAGGATGAATTTTCTTGTGGTCTTTGATGATGGTTCCTTGTTGGTGTTTTGATTCGACTTTAAACACTTTTTGATGAAATTTTGTGGATAACCATTCTTTTTGAAGACCGTTTGTAGGTACTTTTCTTCCATTCTTTTCAACTCTGGAGTGCTACAGTGTGTTTGAACTCTTTTAAACAATGTCTGCACACAGTTTCTTTCGTGAGTCACTGTATTATTGCTAGTATAGTTGAGTATTTGCAAAAAACTTCTTTTGTATGCAGAGTTCGAGATTTAACATGTGGATCACTGCCATTGCTTTTGTGGTGTTTGAAGAAGTTTGATTCGTCCACTTTCAGCGAGATTTTGGTTGTATTCCTCTGTAGATGACTTTGAAGTTGTTTTGTGGGTTAGCTTGATGTTGAGATTCGATGTTGTATTCCAGAATAGAGCTGTAGCGGTGTGTGGGTGGAGGGGAGGTTCTTTCTCCTGCTTCATAAAACCATGACCTTTTTCGAGTGTTTGATGATACGTTTGGATGGCAAACGCTGGGTATGTCCAACTTACTTAGCTCAACATGTGTAGCAGGTGAATTGATAGATGTATATTGATGAGACTGGCCAGCAGTTCAGGAGAATCATTAACTTCGTAGAGAAGGTTAGTCGGAATGAGTCGGAGTAACTTCTCACTCAAAACCAACAAGTTGACAAAAAAAGCATTGGAGATTGAATTTCAAGTGGACTGCGAGAAGACAGAGGTGATAAAGATACCCACTCACCACCACCAACAACAACAACATCAAGCATCAATCATTATCAGCGAGAGAAATCTAAAGGACGACATCGCCTTCATCTATCTGAGCAGAAAACGAGCGGCGGTTGATAATACTACATACATAAGAGAAAGTAAGGCGATGCTTTTCACATGATTCAAGTTTCAATATATACATTTTTTTTTTGAATAAATAGACTGACAATGTATAAGACATTCTATTGTAGTAGTAGTAGTATTAAGTCATTCAAAAAAGATGTCGGATTATAAGTGAACTAGTTTAGGGACACATTTATTTTGAATGTGTATCTTTAAATAGCCTAATAACAACATGTCTTCTACATGCAGTCTAAAAATGAATCAAGTTATTTTTACCTGATTCTTACTGATCGATGTAGATATGAGTCATCGCTTTGAAGAAAGCTTGAGCTCATACTTTCACTACTACTACTACTACTACTACTACTACTAATACTACCACTACTACTACTACTACTACTACTACTACTACTACCACTACTACTACTACTACTACCACTACTACTACTACTACTACCACTACTACTACTACCACTACTACTACTACTACTACCACTACTACTACTACTACTACCACTACTACTACTACTACTACCACTACTACTACTACTACTACTACTACTACTACTACTACTACTACCACTACTACTACTACTACTACTACTACCACTACTACTACTACTACTACTACCACTACTACTACTACTACTACTACTACTACTACTACTACTACTACCACTACTACTACTACTACTACTACTACTACTACTACTACTACTACTACTACTACTACCACTACTACTACCACTACTACTACAACTACTACTACTACTACCACTACTACTACTACTACTACTACTACTACTACTACTACTACTACTACTACTACTACTACCACTACTACTACTACTACTACCACTACTACTACTACTACTACTACTACCACTACTACTACTACTACTACTACCACTACTACTACTACTACTACTACTACTACTACTACTACTACTACCACTACTACTACTACTACTACTACTACTACTACTACTACTACTACTACTACTACTACTACTACCACTACTACTACCACTACTACTACAACTACTACTACTACTACCACTACTACTACTACTACTACTACTACTACTACTACTACTACTAATACCACCCATTTTATCACAAGCTCAATTTTCGTTCATTTTACTTTGTATGTATGTTTAACATTGTCCAGTGAGAATCAAAGCGTTGTAAATTATTTAATTAATAAATTAATTATTTACTTATTATTATTTAAATTTCAATAATTTGAGATTTTGTTCTATAGATAATGTTCAACGTTCGATAGATAAATAACTGAACATCAATGACCTTCAGACATGATGACACACTTTAAAGTACATGAATCACAATGCAAACAAAATCATGAATCGAAGACAAACGATTCCTTAGAGAAGTCATTGAAGTCATGAGAAGAGTAAGACAAAACTGACTACTATCACTGATGATATTTTTGATTGTGATCGATTAGATAATGAGGCAGACTGTGAGGACGCAGAAGACAGGCAAACTTTCGACATTCAAGAAGATTTTAGAAGATTTTGATTTCGTGGATGGTTTATATCTGAACTACAGGCGAAAGTTGAAAACCTAAAAATTCTCATTGAGTAATAAAAAAGAGAAAATTAGTTCAGCGAAGAGTTACTCACCTTTCCGACGATATCATTCTCATGCTGTACAATCGTATATGTATGTATATAGACGACTGTCTTAACAACCAAAGGAAGATTTCCAAAGATGTGTCATCAGAGTTTTAATTTTTTTTGGATAACAGATTACGTAATGTAGGAAGCCTTAATCGGACAGAAACTAAAATCAAATTAAGTCAAATCAGTGAATTGAGTGACGTTATATAATTTACAGGATTAAGCGGAATTCGACTAGAATTGAAGGCGAGTCAAGTTAAGAAAAGCGATGATAAGCGGTGGGAATTGAATAGGGACTGAGGGAAGAAAAATAATTCAATTAAAAACAAGAATCACGTATTTGGTGTTAAGATAGGTCAGTTCCACTGTAGATTTAATGACTGAACAAACTTCTTTTGTATGCAGAGTTCGAGATTTAACATGTGAATTGCTGCCGCCATTGCTTCTGTGGTGTTTGAAGAAGTTTGATTCGTCCACTTTTAGCGAGATTTCGATGTATTCCGCTGTAGATGACTTTGAATTTGTTTTGTGGGTTTGCTTGGTGTCGAGATTCGATGTTGTGTTGCAGGATAGAGCTGTGGTGGTGGAGGGGAAGGTTGGGGTATCTTTTTCTTGCTTTATAAAACCGTGACTGTGGGTGAGTGTTCGATGATGCGTTTGAATAGCAAACGCTGGTTAGTGCTGAAATACCTAGCTCCACAGGTGTAGCAGGTGAATTGATAAATGCACATTGATGAAACTGGCCAACAGTGGTAGCTTATCCTTCACGTTCATGCGAATCATTAGTTTTGTAGAGAAGGTTATTCGGAATGAGTTGGAGTAACTCCTTGCTGAAAACCAAGAGGTTGTCAAAAGCTGCCGTGGAGATTGAATTTCAAGTGAACAGAGAGAAGACAGAAGTGATGAAGATACCCACTCACCACCAACAACAACATCAAGCATCAAGCATTATCAGCGACAGAAATCTAAACGACGTCATCCGCTTCATTTACCTGCGCAGCATTGTTTCAATTTAACAGTAAGGATGAAGATTTCAAAACCAGTCAAGATCGGAAAAACAAGACAGACCTTTATTACTCTGAAATCAGTTTGGAAATCAACTGCACTCCACAGAATAAAGAACAAGATTCGAATTTTCAACACTAGTGTCAAGTCAATCACTTCTTCTATATGGTTCAGAGACTTGGCCTGTCACAAGAAGCATTCCGAACACGCTTCTGCAGTCTTTCATCAATAACTGCCTTTGCTGGCTCCATAATGAGGATCAGTTGACCAATCAGAAAGCCTAAGCAGCTAAGGGATCTGGTAACTAACCAGTCAGGAGCCTGTCGCCTACCAAAAATATAGGAGAGGATGGAAATGAATCAGACAGGAGCTGAGGAGACCTTTGAGTGACATGACGCTCCACGCTGGCCATCGAGTGGGGAACTAAGTGTTGTATGTCACTCAAAAGGTGACATGGAGGAGATCGTGTGAGGAGGTGGAGATGAAGCTAATCAAGAATGAAGTGCTAACAGGGACATTTCCAGTCTAACTAATAATCGAAACGTTTTGTCTACTGGTTCAATTCTTCTTGGAACTTAAGATTTCTGTTCTAAATTTATTATTATTGTTCCCTTGGGTTGCGAGTGGAACATAGGGCTTCAACAACACATCTCCACTTTTTTATGTTTGCTGCCGTCCGCTTCAGCTGGGTTCATGACTGACCATAATCTCTCGTCTCCTCCTCCAACTCACACGATCTCCTCCATGTCACCCTCGAAGTGATGACCCACTCGTCACTCTCTATTGGAATTCCACTCGAGCACGGTCTTCATTGAGCATACCCTCCCAAAAGTATAAGCGATCCATCTCCATTTTCTCCTACATGTTTATTGAGCAATCGGCTCTCGCCTGTTGGTTTGCTGCCAGAGTTTCTTGTTACTAATACCTTCTGGCCATTTGATCTTCAGTATGGAGCCGGCGAAGGCAGCTGTTGATGAGAGTCTGCAACCTGCTGGAAATGCTTTTCGTGATACGCAGTGCAAGTTTCTGACCCTTAAGGAAGAACCAACTTGACATTGATGTCTATGCTGTCTGAGTGCAGAAGATTTCCAAACTGGTTTCAGGTTGATGAAGGCGTCTCTTGCCTTTTCGATTCTGACTTTGACATCTCCATCCGTTCCGACTGCCTTTTAGTTGAAACGCTGCTTCGTAGATAACTGAAAGAGGTAACCTCTTTCAAATTTCTCCTGTTGATGGTGCTAGTCATTGCTTTTTTAAATTTAGTATCCATTATCACCATCACTGTCATCATACTCTCGGTTTTGAAAAAAAACAACAACACGCAATACCGCTAAAATCAAACTAACGCAATTTAAACCACTACTGATCAATGTTCAAGGGTGATTGAACATTATTATTGTTTAAAGTCAATAATTCATTTTCCTGTCTCATATTTGAATTCCAATTTTATAGAAAATTAACTGAAATTTAATTAAATTAACAAATTAAGAATTGAAAACTATCTTTTTTTCTCTTTTTTTCTCACTCCATAATTTATTTAACAGACATAATAAACAGAATAATTAAGTTATAATCAAGTTTCCATTGATAATACTTCATATAATCGTCTGGACTGCGTGCTGTGTTGAATAGCATAGCACAGAAAGAAGACAAAAGTTTGAAAAGTCTATTGAATTTTGGATCAATATTTCTATAGTTAATGATGAATTATCCAGGCATAGTTGATTGAAGTCTACACATCTGTGTCTATTCAGGACTAGTCTTAAATAGTCACTCAGTCAACGATCGTATCAAATGGTAGGATTTAAAGATCTTTGGGGGAATTGAATACCTTTCAGCTAGCTGAAAATAAATCCAGAAACGTCATATCCTTTAGAAAATCACTACTACTACTAAGTACATAATACTACAAGATGTATATATATATGATGGAGAAGATTTGTAGCTCAGGTGGATGATTTTGATGTGGTTGTGTTCTCTGGGCTAGCTGGATGGTTTATTTGCGAAGCTTTCATTGCCCCACTACTAGGCAACATCTTCAGCGCATACACTGCAATTTGTTGAAGTGAGCTTTTAGATTTCTCCACGAGTTCACTATTAGTCATCTCTCCTGGTGACCACCTTGAACGTGACTCTGGTTGGTTTTGTGTGTTTTCACACCCTCTAGGCTACTTGAATTAGAACTGATTGTTTCTTTGACTTGAACTTTGACCCTCTGTGTGTGAGATTTCCTTCTTCTTATCGGTTGGTAAATTTTGTCTATCTCGATGTGTCTATTGATTGATGATTCACTGGAATATCAGACAGCCTTCTAAAAATTCTCTAGCATTCTTGGTGTTTCCTCTGTGTAATATTTGAACGTTGGTTGTCTCAGTCGAATTGATGTCCGTGGTTGTCTGTATGCAGCGATATGAGTGAGAGAGTGGATGTCATGTCTTTTGACGGCTAGCTTATGATCATGGATACGAAGACGAAGAGGACGTCCACTTTGGCCAATGTAGTGTTTTTCACAGTTGTTACAATTTATTTTGTAGATGATGTTGGTTTTATCTTCTTTCGTTGTTGAGTCTTTTGGTTGACACAGAGCCAGCTGAGTGAATTGATTTTGTTGGTTTGTGTGTGTGTGACGTCAATTCCTAAAGGTTTGAAGAGTCTTGTCAGGATTTCTGAGATGTCCTTAATATATATGGTGGGGAGATTTTCTTTGTGCTTTCCTTGGGGGATTTTGGTTTGATAGGTTGGCTTGGGAGTATATGTCTTTTGATGAAATTCCGTGAATATCCATTCTTTTGGAAGACGTCCATGAGATAGCTTTATTCAACTGCAGCACTCCCACCTTAAAGAAAATTGAAGAAAGATATCTCATGGACGTCTCCCAGATTTATATACAAATAACTAAAATTTAATTAAATTAACAAATTAAGAATTGAAAACTATCTTTTTCCTTATATATATAGTTGAACTGCACTCGTACTTGTTAGCCCGATCGAAGTATTCAAAGCAGAAGACAGCCATTTTTCTTTTGAGTCTATCTGATAACATTGACAATGAACTTGTTGCCAAACTCCTGTCAGGCATTTAAATCAGCAAGATCTGATTGACAAGCCCTATTGGCTGAGGTGAGAGCTTCCCGAACTACTCACATCAATCCAGTAGTATATTACCAGTGTGATACCATTTGTGGTATCGAGAAGAACAAATTCTTTCGTGTAGATATTATTAGTTTTCAAAGGTAACTATGGTAACTTGTCACCTTCTCAAACTATGTAATTTGAAAATGATCTCAGAAGTTTTAAGTGATTCTGAAAGGATGGATACTGAACAAGGAATACTCTTTTCAATAACGCCTTCTTCATCAGGCTGACCAGTTACATATACATTATAGTGAATGAATGAATTAGTGTTATGAACAACATAAATGCTGTTTAAATAACATCAAATCAATGATATTCATAGATTATAGC